AGAAATGGACACCTGTCCTAATTCTCTGCATTCTGCTTTTATAAAAGCATGGGGGGGATTTTTCTCTTCCAATATTTGAAACATACTCTTGCATTCAATCACTCATTTTGTGTGCCACTTCTGATCATTCTGATACATTTATGCCCAACATGAAAAATATTATTGGTATCTACAACAATGTAAACAACAAATAAACATTTGAGTCATTACTGATGCTGGTGATCAGCTTTGGTGTTGTTATATACTATACAACATGAACTTTTTCTTTTTTTTTTCAAGTGAGACCCTGGAACTGTCTTACCATGTCTTAAACATCACTGTTCCTAGACTAATCATATACACAGATGAGTAGCGATAAACATGTGTAATCATAAACACAACACAGTTTGAAGGAAAAAAAAAAAACAACTAGTAATTCTTCTCCCACTATAGCACAGGTTGGTGGGTTGGAGCAGACTTAATCAGTGGCAGATGATATATGAAATACATCAATTTGCATATGACAGCTTCTCTCTTTATTTCAGCAATGGCCCAGTGAATCTTGCTGAAACATTCAGGATAAAGTTAGTGCAGGCTGTAACAAGATCATGGTAGCAGAAGCCATATATGCAAAATTCACAGCAGAGTATGTTATGAATACTATCAGCCTCACTGGAAAACACTTTCTTGTCTCCATTGGTTAAACCGTATGCTATTATCACCAGTATCTAAAAACCAGACTATAGATATCTACAGCATAAATACACTGCTTGTCAATGCATATGGTTATTATTTTTATCAGCTAAATGTGTATCTGATTAATTCCTTTTCTTAATACAAAAGCATATATATTGCACTTCTAAAGAGTTAACCATAAAAGCGTTTTTACTTAACTTACCAGTTGTTGAAGCTGGAAGGAGTCTTGCCCTAAACTCTCTACCTGCTCTCATGTTGGTAATCTCTGTCTCTCTCTCCCTCTCTCCCTCCCCCCGTGCAGAGATTGCAGTAAACTTAGAAAACTAGCAGGGACAGTGTTTCAAATGACTTAAGAAAGAGAACAGGAACAATCATTTCGTTCTCTTTTTTTCAGATGAGTACAGTACCTTCAGAAAGAAGGAAGGAAGGGAGGGGAGAGGAAGTCAACAACCCTTTGCTTTCCTGCAAAAAAATAAGGAAACAGCAGATAGCAATCTCATTTTCTCTCAAACAAAATGTTTGGAAAAATAAATATATTCAAACCAAAAGGAATTCCTCAAGTATTATATCTGCATTATTGGCTTCATAAAACCTACTTTACAGCTTGCTATGTGCAACTAAACGAAATGAATTTCGGAAGTAGTGATTAGGAATAAGACACCCATATCTTATGCAGAGCAAATAGCCATAAGCTTGCACAGATAATGCAGGCTTTTTTTACTCCAGAGAAGGAGCGATCATAGATGTATACACATATCTTGTTTTCACGGTGACATAGGTACAAAAATCCCTAACCCCCCTCTTTACTGTGATCACAAGAAAACAGCATGTTGGGTATTCATAGAATGTTGTGAAATAAAAAGGGGGATGAAAGGGGTCACAAAAATGGTAAGGATCATAGCTTGATATTGGAGTTGCAGTAGCAAGTAATTTATCTCAAAGATTTGCATTATAGAAGGCATCCTGATTTGTCCAAACGAAACCAATGTGCTATGGTCTAGGACAGATTTTATACTTTTTTTTTTTTCTTTCTTTCCCCATTAGAAGTATTTTGACAGCCAGATATGAGCCAGCTGGCTGGAGTTACACCTGGAATAAGTTTAGTCCATTGTGCTTCACTGTGTTTTTGTTTGCTTCTATGTTTTCCCCTAACTTTATCTATCATCTGAAGTCCACTAATAGTGATTAGATGCTCCCTTTTTCCCCCCCCTAATTTTTTTCATTCTAATATTCTTGCTAGTAAACACCTTCACGCTGTTGCTGGGGCTGCATTTTCAGTTAGCCTTGTAATGTGGTACTGAAGATAGGGCTGCTCATTGACAAGCAATTCAGTGTTGAGTTCTATGAAAGACATAAAACAAAAAGCCATTTCAAATGGCCCTCTCCTATAAACCATGCATCCAAACTTTGCTCTGGGAGCAATAGCTAGATGAATGCTGCTGAAGTAAATTGAGTTATTGCTGTAAATCCAGTGTTAATGGGAGGACAAGTTGGTGCATTATCCCATAAAGATTATTATTTCTTCTATTGCACAATTATGTGAATCGGTAAGCTGCAAACCAACATAGGAAGTAGGTCTTAGGCACCTGTGTTCCTTCAGGCAGTTCCTGGTGCTATTTCCAGAAGATGTCTAGCAATGATTTGACTGGGGAGGCTTTTATTTTAATATTCAGAAATAGAAAGCTTTGATAATGGACATGAGCAGTTGACAGAGCATTGCAGGTATTACTAGTGATGTCTGGCCTTGCAACACCACCAGTGTTTCCTGGAATCGGTGAAAGCTTAACAGGAGGGCGAATTTTAAAAGCAAAAGAATGCAATGCACTTAGGGTATATACTGCAAATGAAGTCCTCGATACTCCCTTGGGAATGGAGACCCTAATCAAACAGATCTCTAGTCCATACCAAGCACAAGGAAAGTAAAGAGGCATGGGAAGCCACCAAATTAATGTATTGTCCTGTGGGGTCAATCTAGTAGCTCAAAAAAATTGATTTCATTTTGAAATTGTTTTTCAAGATCTTAAAGATAGTAGCAGCTTCTAGGCTTTTAAAGTTTGTTTTATTTATTTATCTGCCAGGCATGCCAGGTTAATGAGACCCTGAAGACTGCCATTACATACCATTTTTTTTCTCTCCATTGGGAACACATTGCAGAATTTTAGTTGAAAACCTATACTGACCAAATTAGGATCATTGTTATATAAGTCACTGAGGGTATGTGATAGTCTGTGTAGTCCTTTATGAAGGACTTCGTTGTCACAGATGTCCCATACTTCTTCAAATAACAGGTTTCCCGTTCTTGAGGATTGTAAAGCTAAGAAGCTGGCCACAAACATCCATGTGGCATGTTCAACAGTGTATAAGACTTTGCTGTTCTTATGGAAGGAGACTGTGAGAGCCCCCTACTTCAGCAAGGAGAGCAGGAGATGTAAGGTCCTTGCTAATCCTACCTCAGGTCCTATTGTCAGCAGCCTTTCCACCCAAGTGCTCAGGACTGACTTAGTTGCCCCATCCAAGGCCAGGTAGAGTAATCCTGCTTCCCAACGTGCAGCCACTGTAGTACTTGACTTGCTTTTACTTTTGTCAATTTCTCCCAACTGCTGCCAGCAAATCACAGCCTGAGGAGGAAGAAGCACCGAAACTGTTATTTTCGTGCCAGAAAAATACCTTGCAAGGTCATTGCCTGTGCAATTACTGACTGTGGAGAAATAAAAGCATGGCCAAAATCATTGGTATCTAGAAGCATGCAAACCAAGTCGCAACAGATGACGCTATTTATGATATTTACCCAAGTTTTAAGGGACAAGTTCATCTGTTTTTCAGAACATATTTCTGGAGGAAGTGTTAGCCTTCTTTTTCCTTACCTTTTCTCACTGTGCTGTTACCAAAATGGAGCCACTGATACAAATTCAGAATGGTTCAGTGCCAGCCTCAATGCAGATAAGTGATCAGCTTCAAGTGTAAGTGCTTCCTGGGTCCAGTACATATAGTCTCTTGTAAGGAGTGGCCAGGAAAAAAACATTCTCGTGGTCATGGTCAGGGTACGTACTGAGGACTGGGAAGATTCCTCTAGTACTAGTCTGTATGATCAGACTAGATCTTCAACCAGACTGACATCTATGATGTTAAGGCCTTGATTCCTTTTTCTTTTTTTTTTTTTTTTAAATTAACTCCAGCAGGGAATAAATTGTGTTTCATGGGCTCTTTCCAATGGCAGCAGGGATGCTTTCCTATATGTTCAAAATAAGAATGAAGTAAAGAAGTTTATCATGCTAAAAATAATTTGAGCCTCTATCCAGCAGAGATAGGCGAGAACACAGGTAACTGCAGCAGCAATAGTCAGCAATAGCATTCCACTTCATCCTGAGAAAATGAGACCAGAGGCAAAAAACAGAGACATTTACTGGTTTGCTTGATTGCTTTAGGGTAAAAACCATATACATCTGAACTATCTGTGAAAAAATAAGATTAATATCTTCCTTCCGGTCTACAGTACACCTGCGGCATTTTAACTGAGTAAAAATAATATGTCTCACTTAGAGACAAAAAAACTGAAGGACACCTAATTGTTTTCCATAAGTCACTCTCTGCTGTGCTTTCTTGGTTTCTTTTCTGCATTGCGTGTTTATTGTCGACTGTTCAGGAATGAGCTGGCAGAATGCTAATGGGACCAGAGACAAGCGGACCAGAGTCTAAAGGAATCCCCTTCTGTGCTGCAGCATGTGGAGAATGTGGCTCTAATTACAAATATTTGGTTATATATTGCTATTTGTTGTATTGCTATGTATTAAGCCTGCATACATTGTTACACAATATATCTCCAGGGTTGGGGGTTTTTTAATTATTGCAGCCATACTATAAGTATTTCATTTAGTTTCTCAGATTAAAAAATATTAGAATATTAGAAAATATTCCAAAGCTTTTACATTACTACCTGTCTTTCATGTTCATAGTAAGAACAGAGTATTCTCACGACCATGTACTTGTACAGCTAGATTTACTACTCTGTCACCTACATATTTTTTACTTTTGAGTCAGGTAATATCTAATCACGACCTTAATGAACTATTAGCATTTGCAAACTATAACCTTTGGACCATCCACATTTGTCAATTGTTTGGGCGAGAGAAAAGCGGGAATTTGTATTAAAGAAAGGAGATATCCTGGCAATAAACACCTTATTATAATTTAAAGTGGCCTTTATAACTCATTCTGGGCCAAACTCATTTCTGGTAAATGACACTGGCTGCAGTCATTTAAAGACAGGCTTTTCCTGTACCCTGTATGTAATCATCACAACTACCTTTATTAAAACAATACCATCAAAAGCTATTTTAAAATAAGATGGTGTGATTAAAAGGATGTGTTTTCATCTTTTGACATACATAAAGTTATGTGAACAGGACTGTGAGCCCTATGCAGGTCAGAGGTGGACAAGAACTTGGCTTTGGTAACTACGTTTGAATTGGTGTCACGTTTGAAGATCTCTAACATGTGGAAAGTTGCCAAAGTATCCACCAAGTTTTCTGGTGATTTCTCAAAGCTGGCCATTTGACAGCAGCAAAGGCTGTGGTTTTACCTCTACTTAGACTGGGAAATTAATCTAGCATTTGTTCTGGTCTTTATTGGTGATCTTGCTTGATTAAGAGTGTTCATGTACTCTAATGTCCACTAAATGTACTGTAACACCTGAAATTACTTAACATGTTTACAGGCTTAGGCTGGGCATCTAATGTTGTAAAATGTGTCACTCTTCAGCAAATATTTGGAAAAGGCATGATTCTTCCCCATGCAATGATGTTTCTTACCTTGTTAGCTCTGATAATATGACAGTATTTCTTCTGGAAGCCTGGCAGTGTATTTCAAGATGCATTTGAAATGAATATGACTTTATCTATTTTTTTAAAGCAGTATGCAATGACAGTCATTTTCATTTTAGTTAGTTTAGTCACTTAACTTAGCTAATGTAGTCTCTGTCTTATAAAAAGTAAGTAGTTGTTATGATTTTTGATATATGCTTTTGTCCTTTAGTTTGTGATAGTTTTCCAAAGTATTCAGTCATTGTGCTACAGTTGAAGTGCTGTGGGCACTTAAAAAAGGCCCTTTCTGTGAATAAAATAAAGGTAGTGAAAACCCACCACTGCTGCTACCAAGTAGCACACCTCTGATTTATAGCTGCTAGGCTGCAGAGCCAGGAAAACTCTTGGGAAATCAGTACTCCACACCTGTGTGAAGGATGATAAATGGTGTCTCTATGGCTTTTTTAAACTCTATGTGCTTTAGAGAAAGAAAGAAAGAAAGAATCCTTCTACTTGTGTTTAGGTTGGGGTTTGGGGGTGTTTGTTTCTTTATTTTGGGTTTGGGTTTGGATTTTCTTGTATTTTTGGGTTTGTTTTGGACCTTGACACTTGGGAAATACTAGGCAGAGCAAACACTGTACTCCTGCAGTCCTCATTCATTTGATGTTCCTACTGACTGCTATAAGACTTCCCCATAACTGGAGATAATTGTGTTAGGTCCCACACGTGTCAAAGGCTACAGCCAGTAGTCAAACAATGTAAACTAATTGACTGCATGTGACAGAGCATATGGATTGACACATGAGCTCACAGGAGTTCAAAGCAGTTATCAATAAATAAAAAGTGAGTGTTAAGACATCTAGCCAAGAATAATTAGGGGAAAAGAAAAGCAGAGCTCTTAGGTCTGTTAGATTTCCTCTGTTCTTCAAAAAGTTTAAACGGGTTTTGTTTTGGGTCCTTGTTTTTTTTATTTTAACAAAACACTTTTGCTGAGACTGCTATTGTTTTGTAGAAAAGCATTTGGTTATAACTTAAAGGACAGGAAAAAACCCCATTCACAGGAAAAACCTCAGACTGCACTAGAAGTCTTGCCACTGGGATTTCTTCAGCTGTACATTTCCCTCTTGCTCATCAGGGCTGCCCACTTCAGTTCACACACCAGAAGTGTAGCCTGATACAACACTGCTGGTGGTCATTCTGTATATGCATAATGCCTGAATATCCCTTCTAAGAAGTTCTTACTCAGTAAGCAGTGTTGCATGGCTCCTGAATATTTCTGGAGAAGCTGTCTCTGTGTGTGTGTAGTGACTGACAACAGCACTATTTTGTGGGGCAGTTTTAATTATTTCGTTGAAATTTTTGACTGGCAACACTTGGACCTAGGCAACAGTCATTAAAAAGAAGGATGGAAGAACAACGTGGGGCAGAACTGAAGACTGCAGTTACAGAACAGGTATTATCTCTGGGCTGTTAGGATTGCATGCTTGTGTGTTGAATTTTCTGCAGGTTTTTTGTCTCCTGTCAACCACAGACTTGAAATGCTGGACATTTTCTCTTGCTGCTTGAGGCAGAGCATTGGAAATGGACTGCAGCTAGGAGCACTGTTCACAGTGACAGTCTGCATATTATTTTCAGCCCTTTGCTGTCTTCTTCCAAGAAGAAATCCTTCATAAAAGTTGCTGTTAGGTCCAATTACTTTACGCTGTTCCAAGTCTCCTAACTTCGTTGGACTGGTTCTTCCGTTCTCACTGATGTATATCACAACTGGTCCCTTTTCACAGGCATAGCTTAGCCCACTAAAGCATCATTAGTGGTGCTGTATGATTTCCTCCTCACTGAACTGTTCATCTGAGAGACTTTCTCAGTCTAAAACACTATCAGACCTAGATAACAACATCTGATCATAATTCCCTTTCTTGTGGTTGGTGGTTTTTTTTGTAAGACTGAAGTCTCAGATCAAGAGAAAATCACATTCTTTGGCTGCAGAAATTCTCTAGCCTCCACCCTCAGCTGCGCAGGCTGCTCCCCAGGCCCTGGCACACTCTGCCTGTGTTGCTTTTCTGTTTAGGAGCGAGGCCCAACAATACAGCAGTAACGTGAACCCAGGCACATGCCCTGGA